ATTATAAATTGAATGGCATTCATGCATTATATTATACTAATGGCCTAGTAACTCTTCACTTTTTACAAAGCATAGCATTGCTTTCATGACAATGAAGAGTTTATGGTGAAATATAACCTGGACATTTTTGTGAGATTCACCTACATACTCTCAGAAATATGGAGGGAAATTGAGAGTTGGAGGTATGTGGAGGTGGTCTTAGCAGAGATGTTGCACCGTTAGCTGTCTGGAGGTTTTTGGCAAACTATAAAGCCACAGTATTCCAGCAGCTGGTTCTCAATATGATGTGACAGTATTTTACACAAAGAGGGCACTGTACCGACTCACAACCACACACTAACTGTCTTACCTTGAGTGAGTCTGTTGAGTGTGAAGACTGGGGATTTCATTCCAGTGTCCAGTGGGAACTGTAGTAGAGTGAGTGACTGCGAGCAGCAAGGAATCTAGTTACAGGGCAAATATTTGGAAGAGTATCTGATTTTGTTTTAGTTATGTGAGGGTTTGTTTTTCTCCTGGTAGCCCTTTCACCCACCTAAACCTTATAGACGTGTGTGTGTGTGAATGAATGAATGAATAGATAAAGAAATGAGTGATATTGCTTGAGTGAATACTGCATGCACAGATCTGGTATTATTGGACAGCAGCAGTTAGCTGATGGTTGTTACACATTTTTGGATGCTTTTTGTTATCTGTACAAGAATATTATGTGTATGGGAGATCTTTGTTCATGTATGTGTGATTATCATTTATGATTAATGTGAAGTCTTTTCTGAAGACATGATGGATCATTTTCCTTTTTTCGGAGCGTCTGTGAATCATTGACCCCACTGACCTCATGCTACACACACACACACACACACACACACACACTTACTTACTTCCTGTTGCCTGATTTTAACCAGCAGAGGGTTGGATGGCATGAGGGCTCTATTAGTTGAAAGACTGTTTAACTTATTTTTTGACTAAGACTAAGATTTTCCCCCCTTGAACATCCCATTTTAAAAATTTTGAAAAAAAAATAAAAATGAAACTGTATTTCCTTTAGACTGATTATAATGAATATAATTCTCTGCATTGTTCTTTTTATTTATTGGTGTGATATGCTGACTAGCATTAGTAGCAAAGATTTAATAATATAATATAATATAACAATATATTTAAATGATCTAGATCAGGGATGGGCAACTTGTATATGGCCCGTAGTGTCTTTTAGTATGGCCCGCTGGATCATATTAGATTCGGATGATTTCAATTTTAAAACATTTGAAAGCAAGTCACGTAAAGATTGCTTTCAGTTTATGATGTTAATACTATCTCCAACCATGAGAGGTCGCTAGTTTCCAGCCGCTCCCCTGTTCATTTCAGCGTAGTAGGATGTGCACTCTAATGTACACATCATAGACTTTATAAAAACATGGACGTAGTGTCCGTGACGTCACTCGTAGGTTCCGGAAGAGCGTTTTTGAAGCTCAAAAGTGGGCGGAGGTGGCCGTCGCCATCTTGGCAGCGCATCACGCGCGTTACTCCCAGATAATCGAAAATGGGCAAAAAGGCGGGAGCTGGTTGCTAAAGCCACGCCCACCTAGCTCGACGGTGGTGACAGCAGCGGCAATCCACCTGTTACTCAAGTGGCCACGCCCTTAATTATGCTGAACTTTAAGGCTTAATATCATTTAAACAGATGAGGGTGATGAGCGTCTATGGGATTGACTCCCTTTTGCAGCCAGCCTCTAGTGGCCAGTTGATGAATTACAGTTTAAGTCACTTCCGTGTTGGCTTCACGAGAGAGAGCGGGAGGTTGCCGCTTGGTACACATTCATTAACATTAGCAAATAATAAATGAAAACGTGACCATGAAAACAGTATTTTCAAGTCAAGATGGGAAACCGATGATCTTTTTACCAAGTTCAAGGGGATACCCATATGTTTGGAATTGTTTGGAAATCTGTATTTTATTTAAATCGCCATCACACCACTGTCCTGCATTTAAGGTATGCTAATAATAGCAGCTTCTGTTGTGTCTGAATATAGCTGCATTGGTTTTATAGGCTGCTGTAGGTCTATGTTAAGTTCAGTGGGGGAAATCCTGTATGGAGGTGGCTCTGGTTGATGATGGCACGCTCCATTACAGAAAAGAAAAAATAGGTCTTCTATTGGGTTGAGCTTGCACACTCCACTAGCTTTCAAAAGAAAGAAAACAGCTGAAATGATGGCTTTTCACCACAACCCTCTCTGTTGCAGATCTAAGTTGTAGGTTGTGGGTGTAACCCTACAGAGTGGCTACGACTGCCCCTCTTAAACGATCATATTTAATTAGCATGTGTATTTATATGTGTTTGAGTCATTTAGCTGGCAGAGGGACCGATGTGTGCGTGAGCCAGATGAGATGCCACTCATTCAGATATTACATCACCACATTTAGTCCTTCAGCTGGAGGGGAAAATAAGGTTTAGACTGTGGAAAATATTGGAAGATTGTGTGTTTTAATGCTGCCCATATTTCATATCTGGATAGATTTTAAGGTCTAGATTAAATCATATTTACCCCCTCACTAAAGTGTGTCTTGTTAGGACTTGACCACAGGACGAGCACATGGGGGAATTCCTCTCTATCTTTATAGTCCCATCCCCTTGTTTTCTCCCTGTCCCCTTCAGACTCCGCACATCAGAGGAAATGAACAGTACAGTGATGAAATTATATAATATGGGTGTTTCATGCACCATAAAAAGCCTCCCTCTATTTTGGACGGTTCCCCTCCACCTTTTCTGAGAACAAGTCCCCTCCACTGCGCTGAGGATGTTGTAGTTAACCTCCAGCCTCTAAACATCTACCACTGTCTCTGCTGCCCTGAAACTCATCCATTACTTTCTCTCTCTTTGTTTCTCTCTTTAGACCAGATCGATCTGTTATCTTCCCCTTTTGTTCTGCAACCCGATCATCCTTCCTTCGTTCCAACACCCTTTTACCACACACCACATTAGTGCGTTTGCTTCCGTTGCTCAGTCCAGAGCAGACAGTTTAATCATGAAAGCTTCTTTATGAATGCAATATCAGAAGTTCTTGTTTTTCCCAATCTATAATATTGGAAAGGCAGCTTTGATATGGCACAAATTATTTGGATGTTAAAGCAATCAGGGCCCATTTTGCCTTGCGTTAGAGTATGTAGAGGCGGCATTTTCTACACATTTGTAGCGCATAATTTTTTTTTTCCTCTTGTAATGCTAATCACGATTGATTGCACCAAACATTTAGTAATGTCGTTTTTCATTACCTTTTTACATACTCTCTCACGCCTTAAAGTTAGGCTGTTTTTGATATATACACTGAACAAAATTATAAACGCAACACTTTTGTTTTTGCCCCCATTTGTCATGAGCTGAACTCAAAGATCTAAGACTTTTTCTATGTACACAAAAGGCCTATTTCTCTCAAATATTGTTCACAAATCTATCTAAATCTGTGTTAGTGAGCACTTCTCCTTAGCCGAGATAATCCATCCACCTCACAGGTGTGGCATATCAAGATGCTAAACAGCCTAACTTTAAGGGTGTGAGAGAGTATGTAAAAAGGTAATGAAAAACTACATTACTAAATGTTTGGTGCCATCAATCGTGATTAGCATTACAAGAGGAAAAAAAAAATTACGTGCTACAAATGTGTAGAAAATGCCTCCTCTACATACTCTAACTCAAGGCAAAATGGGCCCTGATTGCTTTAACATCCAAATCATTTGTGCCATATCAAAGCTGCCTTTCCAATGTTATAGATTGGGAAAAACAAGAACTTCTGATATTGCATTCATAAAGAAGCTCTCGTGATTAAACTGTCTGCTCTGGACTGAGCAACGGAAGCAAACGCACTAATGTGGTGTGTGGTGAAAGGATAGTTCATCCAAAAATTAAAGTCTGTTATCATTTACTCACCCTATTGTTGTTCCAAGCATTACATAAATGTTTGTTTGTTTGGTTATGTATGTATGTATGTATGTATGTATGTATGTATGTATGTCCATGAAAGTCAATGGGATCCAGTATTGTTTTGGACCCAACTGGCTTTAATTGTATTGACAAAAACAGTTCAAACATTCTTCAAAATACCATCTTTTGATATCGAAAGTCATACAAGAGTGAACATTTTTGGTGATAAAATATAAAATAAAAATTAGAACATGAAAATCAGAAATGTTTAAGTGCTATAAGTTTAAGTACTAAAACTGAAATAAAAAACAATTAAAGGTATAGAGAATTTGTCTTTTTTTTTTTTAAAGAAGCTAATAAAATGAAAAAGAAAAAAGTTAAAATTACTAAAACTAAAATTAAAATGAAAACCAAAAATGCAAAAATAAAAGCTATATATAATAGCTATATATATAAAAATACTATATTAGTATATAAATAATACTGGCTTATTTAGGTTGGTACCCCAGTGTGAGTAAAAATCTGTTTTCCAGTTATATGGCATCATATGGAATATGATATGAAATATTACCATCAGTTAATCAGATGAGTAATTTCTCTCTTTTGTTTGATGGATTCTTGGAAGAGACCACATGATACTCTTTACGATGAGATGATATTATTTACAGCTCATATAATTAACCATGAATCATTGCCTTGTTTTCTAGTGTCCTAATGAGAGGAGAACATTTCAAAAGTCCCTGGGGTGTCCTGCTTTAAATAACACTTCTTCTGGCAGGCATGTAGAGAGATAGCATGAGAGAGGCCCTGGGAACGACACAGCCGTGTTTCTCCACCATGTGTTTGAGTGTAAGAGGTTTAAGGTCAGAGCACTTCAAATGACTCCGGACAGGCATTCAAACAGCAGTGACCAGCCAAAGACCCTCAGCCAGCTCTCAACTGTAGTGCACACTTCTCAGACTGGAGTGAAGGACGGAGAGAGTTGATATAAAGAGGCAAAGGTAGCTTACATTTTCCTGAGCAGGTGCAGTGGATAACTGATAGGGAACTGTGTGAGTGTGATCGTCTTGTGTGATGTTGTAGGATCCTCTTCCCTCCAACCGTCAGTCTGATCTGTCTACAGCACACCTGTGCAGCCATAGCACACCTGGGTATAAGGGCCTCCCATCTCTCTCATCTGTATGTGGGTGTCCTGGACTGTTTTCAGTATTTATGGGCCTCTCATATATTGGTGATGCGCTGAGAAAAGAGTCGAAAAACAGTTACACCAGTTGGAAGTTTAGACAAAAGACAAAAAAACAAACAGTTTAGACAAAAAAACATTTTTTTCCCATTTTAGAATCATATAAAAATGGAAGTTTGAACTTATAACTTTTTATCATTATTATTATTAACATATTTTGTTTTGTAAGAATTGTTTTTAGATACACGTTGTAGGTTTTTAGCATCATACAGAATATATTCAGTTATTTGCTAGTGTACATAAACAATGTATAGTTTGTAAAAATGAAATGTTAGAGTAGGTTAAAATTTGTTTCCATTTGTGCTGGACCTCCTTGATTTTTACTGTTTTGAAAAGATTGTACCAGTACACAGACGTTCGGGCTCAGCAAGGATGCGTTAAATTGATCAAAAGGGAAAGTGAAGACTTTTACTTTGTTACAAAATATTTCTATTTCAAACAAATGTTTTTCTTTTGAACTTTCTATTTATCAAAGAATTCTGAAAAAAAAGGAATCACGTTTTCTACATAAAATATTAAGCAACTGTCTTCAACAATAATATAATAGTTTTATAGTCATAGTTTTCAACAATGATAATAATTTATTGAGCACTAAATCGGCATATTATAAGGATTTCTGAAGGATCATGTGACACTGAAGAATGAAGTAATGGTAAAATTAAATTTAAAAATATATTATAATAGAAAATAATAAAATAAAATAATATTAACATTTTTTGATCTTTTTTTCAATATTGATACCGTTTTTACTGTATTTCTGATCAAATAACTGCACCTTTGCATTCAAAATCATAAAAAAAATCGGTAACACTTTCTATGAAGCCCGTATTTGTAATACATTATAAAGGTATTCTTAAGGCATTATAATGAATGCATAATGCATTATAAAAAAAACGTATAATATGTTATACCAACTCAACTCATATCAACTCAACTTATATCAGCTCATGAATAATCATAACAACAGTTATAATGCATCATAATACTTACGTTATAAGTTTAAGAGTATGATTATTTATAACACACAATGAACACCATATTAAATCTACTTCATTTACAGAATAATGGACTGTATCATATCTTGACATTGTTTATTTAAGATGTGCACAGCATTTTATTACAGCTTGTGAGTGGTTAGATGTTGAGTGTTTCCTGTGGAGCTAATGTTAATTAATTGATGTGAGCTTTATACTCCAACTGAAAAAAATGCAATGTTTTATATGGTTACATTTTATTTTGATGGTCCCCTTAATCAATCGACTATAAGCAACTTTGCAACCACATGCCAACTAACTTTCATTAGAGTATTAGTATGCTCAAGAATGGTAGAATCTAGTATGGTAGAATAAGTTGACGTACTTGCAAAGACACTTATAGTCAGTTTATCTGTTGGTTGACCATCAAAATAAAGTGTTAGCAAATATTTACAGTAGCAGACATACTAATACTCTAATGACCGCTAGTTGATATGTAGTTGCAGAGTCACTTATCAACAGCTGTTTAAAGGGTACCATCAAAATAATCAAACTGATATTACAATAAAAATAGTTCAAAGCAAATGTGTCATATTACACATTCATCTGATCTGATATTTGATCTTATGGCTGTTTGAGAGAAAAAAATGTTATTATTATTATTATTATTACTGCTTATAAGTGGTCTTTGACTGCTTTACGTAAAGTAGCATAAGAAAAATGGCAAGATATGAGACTTGTAATACATTATAACTATGATAAATATAATCCATTGTAAAAGTGGATGCAACGTGTTCATTGTGTTATAAATCATCATACTCTTAAAAGCTATAACCACAAATAAGTAAATATTATAATATATTAAAACTGTTCTTTTGAATATTCATGAAATGATACAACATATTATAATTATAATGCCTTAAGAATACCCTTATAATGTATCATAAATACGGGCTTCATAGATAGTGTTACCAAAAAATCTTCCTTGAAATTAAAAAAAAAAAAAAACATTTTAACTCTAGTGTATTTATTAGAAGACATTTTTTTTTAATGGTAATCTTCTACTTGCATGAAAACATTTTCTCTTATGGCACTAAAAAAAGAGAGATTCCTCCCTACCAGCCCACATCTGTCAAGATTCCCAGCGCCTCAGAAAACCTTTGGTGAGCAGAATAAAGACATGCCCTGGAAAAGCGGGAATCTGGAATTTTACAATTAGGATTTGCAGCATTTAAAAAGCAGAGCGGTGAAGTGAAAGTGATGAGTTTGGGGTAGGTGGACTTCAGATATTTAAGGTAATACTCAAACTGAATATATCAGGGTTTATTTAGATGTTATGGTTCTTTTTAGAAATAGTAAAAAGAAATAGAGCTGGTCTGGTAGTAAAGTACAGAGAACACGTCACCATTCCTTCTACATATATGCTGATAGAGAGATTATATGAGATACATTTAACAGATGGATCGGCCTCTGCTCTTCTCAGTGTATATTGATACAGCGTAACATAAACTCCAGTTATGGGATCTTGATCGCAGTAGTGTTTCATGTGTGCATGTCTCTGTGTTTATATTCCTTAAACCCTCAGAGTCTGCAGATTTGAAGTGTGATTACACATACACATTACAGGTAACTGGATCAACATGATGAGCATGTTTAAGCATTCAAAGCAGGCAGACCTTATGACCAGAGACAGAGAAATGCTGGGAATCTCACAGGCTCGATTCTTTCAGGCCATGATGAAAGCTCTGTTGCTAAGGAAAGTCGGGCAGATGAGAGACTCTGTCTGTGAGTGTGAGTGTGTGTGTGTGTGTGTGTGGTGGGGGGATGGGGCTGTACGTCCACTCTAGGTACTAAATTCAATACATGTGTGTTTATGTAGGTGCTAGACTTGAAGTAGTGTTAACTAGAGCAAGAGAATCATTAAAAAATGAATTGTTCTAAAAATGAATCATTTTTTAACTGGACCTTAAAATGAAATCTCATAACTGTAGCAAATAACTTCTTTTGGGGTTTAAAAAAATATATGAATTATATCTTTTTGGTAATTATATATTAAGTATCTTGAAGTAATAGTTCTGTTTTCTATTTTTTACATTCATTTATTCACACAAATACATTCATTTTTACAGCTTGTCCTCACGCTCAACTTGTCATTTCCAGCTTGTTTTCTCCTCTATGGTCTTCTGATCTTGTGGTCGTTCTTTTCCATACAGTGAAATTGAATGAGAAATTATATAAAAGCACCCAAAACATAGTTCAAAGGCTATATTCCAAGTCTTCTGTAGCTTTGACATGTCGTACCAGGTGTAAAATCAATGATGATACATGAAAACCAATTATGTTCAGTTTCATTGATGACAACTTTTTAAGGTGCCATATTTATTTGCAGGAGAACATAAATGAGATTTGGAGGAAGATTTTGGTGAATAAGGGCTTAAATAACTCGCATGTAGCTCTTATGTGGTTAGCTGGTGCACAAATCATGTGGTACACCTCAAATACATAGCAAATATTTATTTATCTCCAAACAAGCAGGCATTAAATGATCCACAGGGATTTCTGAAAAGCTTTTTGGAATGAAGATTCAAATGAGTAAGTGAATCAGTTCAAACAGACTGTCCATTTGAACTGATTTGTTCAAATGAATCAGATCAACTCTAAACCGAAGTCTGATGATGCAAGTTGATGAAATAGTGCATGTAAAAAGGGGGGAAAACGATAACCACAGGCGAAAGAATAAAAAGCCTGTCGACCTCTCATTGTTTTGTGGTCAGCAGGAGCTTTGTCATTCTTCTACCGCAGAGCTGAGCATGGAAAGGTCTGGAATGCCCCAAAATGTTTGGGAACGTAACGGTCTTCTTAAAAGTCTGCCAGTTAAGCTACTCCACTACTCCCCCCTGCCCCCCCCACACACACACACACACTCGCCTGGTTTAACCCCGACTCCCTCCTTCCCTGAGCTAAAGTTTATTGCATTGATACCAGATTGTGAGCGGGGGGATTGGAGAGGCGGTTAAAAGCAGCATAATCAACATCTTAATGCATGTTCCAGTAGAGATTTAGCTCCACATTTTGAGCAAGCGCAGAATATACATTTCTAATGTTCCTTATCCTGATTTCATTCATTCATTCATTCATTCATTCA